GTTTCAAAGATGTAAGAGACAAACACAAAGGTAGAACAAAGGTGAGGTGAATACTGTGGAAATATTCGAATATGGCATAGAGTGAGGTGATGGTAGTTTGAAGTGAGAAGTCAACTGCCAGTCAATAGACTTTTTTGCCGTATGAATAAACGTTGCCCAGGGTGCACCACGATGCGATTGAGCACAATTACCATTGCGGTTAAAATCATGAATATTTAAAAGTTAGCAGTCGATTTGTTTGTTTAAGGAATCAACAAATTCTTATACAGCCGTTAACCAGGAAATTGCGAATTACCCGCGTTACATTTGTCACTACGTGCAAAAATATTTTTTTTTGCATTTTTTTTGGTGACACTTCAAATACTAGTTAAGTAAAACAGGGAATTTTAAAACCTCTTGACATTAGTACTGAATGAACGTGTGTGATCAGGACTGCACCTTAAAGATAATTTTTAAGGTTTATTTGTCACGTGGGGGAATCAATTTCCCTGAGAAAATTCTTTAGTAGGTGAAATTCAATAGTGCAACCAATGCGCTTTCACCTACGCATGAAAATGAATATTTATTAATATCAAATGGTAGGCTTTATGATACTTATAATTAGCCATTTAGTTGACTTCGGGTTTTACAGAGAGGAGGAGGAACATCAAAGTCACAAAAAGTCGAGGCGTTGTGGAACAGAAAAGTGAGTCACAGATATTAAAGAGACAGACACAAAGGTAGGTGAAAAGGTAAGGTGAGGTGAGTACTTTGGAAGTGGTCGAATACGACATACAGTAGTGTCATAGTAATTTGAATTGAGAAGTTAACTGGCGGTTCATGGACTTTTGCCGTATGAGTATGCATTTCTCAGAGATATGTTTATCGTCCACCCCATACACGAACGGAAAATGGAAAAATACATATTCTTTCTTGAGAGTATATGCGTATTGAAATAGGACACTAGAATCTAGGCGTTGTTTATCAAAGAATTACACTCACGTGTCCTTTGGTAATCATTTGTGTTTTAATTCAATTGGAAATTGTTTCACATCACGGGGAATTTCATTATTTAGCATGGCCAAAATTGTCCAATGTAGATATGGAATCAGCTCGAGAAATTAAAATCACTTATACTTTTGTGAAATTATTTAAGGAAAAAATGTCACCTAATGTGAATCTTACCGTCTTCCTATGCGCATAAATTCAGAAGTTTTGAGTTATTTTTTTATTTATTTATATCAAATGTCAAGGGTTTTGATAGTTATCATTAGCCCTTTAGTCGACTTCAGGTTTCACACGAGGGGTATGAACATCAAAGTGAAAAAAAATCGAGAGGGGGGGGGGGTAGTTCGAAGTCAGAAATCAACTGCCTCTTTTTTGACTTTTGAGCATACGTTACCTAGGGTGCACCACGTGGAGGTATGTCTATCGCCCACCTCCAATATTCAGAAGTTAATTCAAAATCAACAATGGTGGTCGCGGACCATTGTGCAGTCTTCAATAAATTATACGTCCTTTCTACTTCTTTCACAGCTCATACACTTCAAACCCCTCCGTTAGATGTTTTCAATGTCCACAATTCCACTGTGCATATTTGCTCTCCGAAGACGAGTAAATCACATAACAATGTCCTTCAACTCAATTTGGAAGATGGCACAGAAATGCTGTTGGCAGCTAGCACCCTGGAGACTTGCAATGAATGGTATGAACACCTCAAGGCTGCCTCACGTAAGTTATTGCCACCTGCAATGCCAAGACAGGTGTTTACAAGGGTGTCTCAGTGATGGTTAATTAGTCAACCTACTGCTTAAGCCCCACGACTCTTTATGACTGCTGGCCATGCTAGATGGGGAGGTGGGTGGTGGGGGGGGGGGGAGAGTGGAATGTTAGTGATAGGCAGGTACAGCAGAAGGCCCTCGTAACGTATAATTAAGAAATTAGACAAAGAAATTCGTTTGCTTTTTAACTTACCTCCTTTCTTTTTTAATTCATAGTCGGATTGGGTTGGTGAGTTCGGGTTTAGCTTAAAATAGAAAATGAAAATCATTTGGGGATACAAGCATGGCGCCCATAATTCAAATAAAACCATGACCCCTTGGTCCTCAGGCACTTTGTTATTGTGCTCTCTGCTTTAGTGCTTTTTCAGTAGTATTTATTTATTTCAAATGACAGCCGTTTCAATAGTTATCGTTAGCCCATTTGCTGACGTCGGGCTTCACAGAGGGGAGGAGAAACATCAATGTCACAAAAAGTGGAGAGGGCGAGCAGAAGAGTGATTCACAGATGTAGAAGAGACAGACAGATACAATAGTGGAGAAAAGGTAAGATGAGTACTGTTGAAGTGGTCGAAAATGACACACAGTGGGGTGATGGTAGTTTGACGTCAGAAATCAACTGTCGATTAATTGACTTTTTTGCCGTATGAGTATACGTTGCCCAGGGTCCACAACGTGGTGGTAAGTCTATCAAGTACCCCACTTTTCCAGTAATAAAATTTGCAGTCCTCTTTTATCCACCAAGACAAAACCGCAGCAGGTTTTATGGGTAGGGAATAAAATTTTACATCTAAATGCAATATTTTCTTTAAATTTTGTTGGCATGTTTGTAATATTAATTTTTTTACAGCTGGTTGGATTGAGTATCGAGTAATCGTAACTAAAGTTTGGAATGAATCGCTTAAAGCATTCTCTACGTCTCTATTAAACATTTGCCTTATTTTGTTAACACTTCAGAAGTACCTCCGGATGGTACGTCCATGCGTGGATACAACGGCTTGAACCGTTCCTCTGTTTCCTGGAGCGACAAAAGTAGGCCATTTTATTGTACTAATGCACTTCTAAATGCAGGGGAAAAACGTAGCAATTATTGTTCAATTTTAATAATTTTACGCCAGAAATTAGGGGTTTTTTCACATATTTTTAATCTTTATAATCGGTTGACTTTCAATTGATGCGGCAATTGCTGAGTTATGCAAGTGAAGCAGGCACAGGGAAACTTGGGTAATGATGAAAGTGAAAGTCATACTTTCAATTTGCGCTGGAAGTCCATCAATAGATTCATTGAAGGAATTGCGAGGTGGCATTGTTGCTTAATCAAAATTAAAAGTGCCTTATTTACGTCGAAAGAGCCGACAACTTTAAAGACCATAAAAGCCCGCTCATTGGTTACCTCTCAGTTTCGTTAAAGTACCGGGTGAAATCATGTCTTAGGGAGCGAAAGAGAAGCATATAAGGCGGAAATGTGGGTTGGACTAGGCACTCTAAGCCACATTTCTGGGTGATGGCAAGTCGATTTTTGTGACTTAATTAATCCCCTTTTCCTTTATCCCCCCCACCTCGCTCCCTCTCACCCTACCTATTTTTAGATTGCTTATATCAGCCAATGCCCATATTTGACTTGATATTTTGGTAATAAGTACTTATTCATGGGTGTGTCAGTTTAGATAAACACACTTGGAGAGCAGCTCTAGGTTGACAAATTACGGGGCGGTATTTTAGTCCTTTCCCCTTTGCACAGATGCGATTTGTTGCCAATAAAAGCTGACCCTAGGTATCGTAATTGGTAGATCTACAGAGTAGGATGTGATTAAATGGTGCTAGAAGTGGTGGAAATGAAAGCATAATTTGAGGTTGAAAGTGATGACTAATAATTCATCATACCAATGGAAAATTGAACCATGCTGAATCAATACAAATTAGTAGTGTTGGAATTTAGTTGTTGATTTGACTAGCCTAAGAACCAGGAATAGCAATTGTTTTCATTAAAAGCTATACTACGTGCTTGTGAATCAAACTAGGTCAAATTTTTGCATAGGTTTCACTTTCCTGTGTAGATAGAATATTCGAGCGTTGTGGTGAATAATTTCATCAAATCTTCAATGTAATAATTGAAATGAAAATTTCAATTATACTTTTTCCGATATCTGTAATAATGACAAAAGGATTAACCACCACTGACTATTGCTTATTTCCACACTGTGTATGACTTTGTAGTTAGATGCTAAAGCCGTCAAACGATTCATAAACTTTCTTTCTATTTTTTTAAACAATCCACCACTATCTGCATTTCGTTCCCATTTATGCTAGTCACATTTCATAGGGTTAGGAAAATAAGATTTACCTTTGTATCCTGTTTCTCATTGGTGAATACGTAGCCATCAATTTAACTTAGAAAATAATCAATAACTTCCCCCCATGATACCATCTCTATGCCTACTATTTTCCTTTCTTGAGTTCGAAAGATGAGTATCACGTCTTTACTTTTTTAACAATGATTTAAGAGCTACGCTAAAAATGGCAAATCTTTGAACAGAGGACAAGGATTTATTGCCAATGAAGCAAGCAATAGTTTTTATTACAAATCCGATAAAACAAACACGCCTGACGACGGTTTTAAGAATTTTGTTTCAGTTCTAATCTAAAGCTGTTCAATTTTTTAACTATGATCAGTAATACTTCATGATATTTTTTTTTAAAATATTATGAATTTAAATTAAAATGTTTGCAATCTAATGAGTTATGTGTTCGGAAATGGTTAGACTTCAATGGTGATCGATGCCAAACGCTTCTGTCAACCTCTTAAAAATTGGCGATTCTTTTGCTTTGACACGAACATTGATGATGATGATGATGGTAATAATAATGATACGTAACTGATTGGAATTTCATTCTTGAAATAAATGTCTTTTCTGCTTCCAATTCCTGCTATTTATTCAACATAAATTGCGTCATTTGGCTGGAACTTGAGAGCGATTTCTTTCAACTTTGATGTTTTTCACTTGTGTTTGGATTAGCTTTGTCTCGTTTCCGAATATCAAGGGATTCATTGTCTCACCCACTTCCTCCCTCGCTCTCAAGAGATTTCTTCTTACACCCCTCCCCACCACCACCCCGCCCAAATCACATTGGGCAATTGCCAGTTTTTTTTTACGAGTTTATATTCAGATTATCTGTCAAAGTTGTGTGAATTATGGGGAAATTGGATACAGATAAAGGCTCATTGTTGTCAATGATTTATTTATACATTAGGTACACTGTTTTTTTCTTTCTCCTTGTCAAGGGTCTCATGGAACTTGGACCCTCCCAAGAAGTGGATCCCTTAAAAGAAGAGACTCTGGAGACAGTTCTAGACACGGTACATGGGGCAGATTGACACGTCGAAAGAGGGATTCTTTCGATGGGAAGAAGTAATTTATTGTGTGGACCCGTTTATACACTCACTCTATTACCCCCCCCCCCCTTATTTCTCTACCTTCCTTTCCAATTTTTAACATTTTGAAGGTGTTTTTATTTAGATGATAAATGAATTTCTAAGCCGTTTCCCTCTTTTGTCAGAAACGTTGCTGATTGTGGAGTCCATAAAATTGTAACGTATACGGTCAAAGAAATATTTTATTAAACAGGAAATGGGAAGACGCACCTCCAGGAATTACTAACTGTCAACTTTCGCTCACCTCGATGTTTGACATTCAAGCAAGCTCATTGCGGAATTAAGTTTTCAAAAAGTGGTGGGAACAGTTAAAAATACACTATTTCCTTATGGAAAGTCAATGCTTTAAAGGCCTAAATCCGTTCCACTAAGTGTCATTCAAATGTGTGTTAAAAACAGATCTGAGTAAAATGTAAATTTTTCTGAAGCAGCGTAATCGGTAGGGAAGGTTAGCCAAAAAAATTTGTTTTATTACAAGAACTCATTCATTGGTTCGATGTTTTATAAGGATTCTGCTATCTTTGCTGAATGCAATAAGTAAATAGGGTGAAGGCTTTTCAAGATTTGATGATGAAAGGGTGTCTAAAATATATTAAAAAATCGGTGATTAGAAAGATTTCTTTATTATTCTAATAACAATAAGACTTCTTCACACACAAGTGCTTTCAACTGATGTTATATAGAGTTGGCTTATATTGATATTTAATTATTGAAATAAAAACATTTATGGCATTTTTTTCTCATCCCATTGTCCTTCAGTTGGAAACTAACTTCAGCACATTTGAAAAAATTGAGTCTGTGTAACCATATAAAATACCTGTGGTGATATCATCTTACTTTGTAAAGTTCATATTAAAAAAAAATATTTAGACATATTACAAATGATTTATAGACAAAAAGCCTTTTGAAAGGGCAACTTTTTTTCCATTTTAGATCTCTAAAAGGCAAAAGAACCTAAACTATTATCTAAAATCGTTTAATTATTTAAACCAATCATCTACTGTATTATTGCATTCCGAATTCAAATTCCCCTCTAGTCTGTGGATTTCTTATCAATTTTTTTCTTTGTGTATTTTGACGTTGAATTGGATAATTAGTAAATTGAATTTTCCATGCCAAAGGCTGTGAACTTCCTAATTTGCCTACATGCACTAGTGATTTCTAAGTAAAAAGAGCTGTTACATGTTGCTTATCAGCGCATAGGTCTACAGGAATGGTAATTGTTTAGTGAAAAGTATTTATGGCTATCCGAATTCCATTACAATTTCCCTTTTATACCGAAAAGAATATTCCTTCATTGGCAAGCTTAAATAGAACTCCACAGGAGACAATTAAGCAACTAAATTAATTGCCCGATATCTGGGATTTATAGACACCTTCCCATTGGCTAGACTGCTCATTTTAGAACAGCCATAAACGACACTAGCTTCCAAAGCGGTCTCAATCCAAGAAATTAAAAAAAATCACGCTAATTCCTTGGGGACAGACATTTTGCTCCAAATTTGTGCAGGCCAATGAAAATTAACTTTGGCGCGTTTTAGTGGATATGCAAATTTAATGAACCCTTAATTAGGAGTTTTTAATTAAATTCTTCTTAATATGAAATATTAATTTTTATCCTGCTATAACTGATTACATTTATTATTTGTTATTTTCTTGTTGTGCTTTATCCTGTGAGTGCAATTTTTGCCCCAGGAACAACCGAGTGGTTCAATATGTTTTGGTTTAGCGCCAAAAAATGGAGTTCATTAAACCTCATTGAGCTAATCGTCATCGTTCAGTATTCAGACCACATCATGTTAAAATGGAAAATCGGTTTTTTTTTTGCGATATAACCATGGCAATAAGAAAGAAAAAATATGGAGGATATATTTAAGTAATAATTAAAATACATGTCAATTTCCATCATGGGGTTCCCGTGAACAAGCTTAAGAGGAAAATGGAACCTCAGAGTTATGGCAAGTTAAGGCTAGATCTTGTCGTCAGTTGAACTGGTGTCGCTGTTTCCCAGTAGCCAGAAATGGAGAGAAACCACAGTTGCGCCGATTGATATCTCTAAGGGACACGAACTTAATTGACTGCAGTGAGGAGTTCGACCTTCCACCAAAGCTTAACTGATTATGCTCATGGCTTAGCTACTCTTAACGACATTTCAGCAACCTCTTTTGTCCAGTATTGAGATCAGAAATATATATATTTTTTCATTTTATTTGTATTCGCTTTTGTAAAGTTTTGATTTTCACAATATATAGGGGAAAACAAATCAAAACTTTTATTAAATTGAGAACTCTTTATAAGAAAAAAAAACCAAGTAGAATATAAAATATTTCAAAAGTCAACATGATTTTCAAATCAGCTCTTGTAATTAAATTATGGGTGATTATAGCATGCGAATATTTCTCCCGAATCGATAGCCAATTCGATACCTATTGCTCGTGAATTGACAATGGAAGGTGGCAAAATTGACTGGAAATTTCACTCCCAAGTAAGATACCCTGGTCTACTCGCACCATTTAGAGAAATGATGGATGTGGCAGGATCTAACTTACGTGTTCAAAAGCAATCATTTGCAACAGTACAGGAGAACAAACTTGCAAGTCAACACTTTCAGGTATTTTTGGGAAATAATTTTACCTGTCGTTCTTATATGATTAGCTGTGCATTTTCCCATCGAAAATGTGCTCTAAATGATTGTTTGTGGCAGGTCAGACTTCCCTTGAAAGGGCGAAAATTTTGGTCATACCTAGATTGTCACGCTTACAAAACAACAGATGGGCAAAATCTGGATGAACTGTTTCAAGAACTTGTATTTCAATTCTGTTTTGCCTTGGAGAATGAAAAAAGAGATAACCAACAATCTCAACTAAATTCAAACGCTTGAAGCACTATTTACTTTCAACCATAAATTAAATTACAATGATTCCAAATTTGCTAGTGACGAGGAATATGAAAAGCCCGATTTTTCTGTTAAATTAATAATTTTGGTTCGATATTCAATTTTTTAGTGTAATAGGGCAGGATTTTATTAACTTTCAGAAATAGAATCCAAATTCAGTAAAGCATTTAATTGAAATTGAAATCGGACATGAAAACAACGCTCAGAAGGGGAAAAATGCAGTGACTCCTGTCAGAGATTGTCAGAATTAATCTCCTAGGCCGGGGAGCATGGATACATGGATGAAATTCAGAGGCTGTTTCTTTTGTCCTCACTAATTTGAATGCAAGGGCAAAATAAACGGCAACCAATTTACAGATTCATGCCTTTGTTTAGCCACGGACGAGAGTAAGAAGGTTATAGTACTCATTCAAGATCCAGAAATAAAAACGGTTTAGTATTTTGCGGTAGCATGTTACTCGCCAATTATGAAATTTCCAATATTTAATCTTGAAAACATGTGTTTGTGAGTGGATGGAAGACAGGAACAATGAATTGAAGGGAGTTGAAAACACACTTCTATCAGCGGAAGTTTGCGAATTTTACAAAGAGGACGTCTTGGTTAATCACTTCCTCCCTCCCTCGCCTTAGTAACAAGCATGAAAGCGGTCTTTTGTTCTACTGGTGCTTATTGAAGACATCACTGAATGACATCGTAGGCCAATATATCATGCAACAAGTCATATTTTATAAATTTAGCGTTAATAATTCTTGAATAAAAGTGATTTCACTAAATTTATCGGCATTAATATTTAATTGGAATAATCGCTTGCCTAATTAGCATATAGCGAACTAGTATAATTAGCTTTATTTCCAAAACCATTTATATTTGCCCTGGAAAACAAAATTACTATTCAAATTGAGGAAAGTTGATTCGCTTATATTATTAACCAATTTAAACCTACACTGCAATTGACCGAATTTTGACGATAAAATGAATGGGCAGTTGAAATACTGCGCCAATTATGCCACATAATGGTTTATCGGTATCCAGGTAACTAATTTTTGTTTTAAACAAATATATTATTCACGGGAGTATTTGTTTGCATAATTTTAATAAACGCTAGCCTCGATATACGTCTGTTTCCTGAGGTGGGTGGTTGACGTACCTTCATGTAGTGCACCCTGGGCAACATTTTCTCATACGGCGAAAGTCTATTAACCAGCAGTTGACTTCTCACTTCATACTACCATCACCCCACTGCATGTCATCTCCAACCAATTCCAGAGCACTCATTTTACCTTTTCTCTGCCTTAGTGTCCGTCTCTTTTACATCTATGAAGCACTCTTCTATTCCGCCACCCCCCCCCCTCTCGACTATTTTCACTTTGATGTTCCTTCCCCTCTAAGAAGCCTGATGTCAACTGAAGGGCTAATGAATACTGTCAAAACGCCTGCCATTTGATATAAATAAATATACGCGTCGTGGTTTATGTCAAAATAGATTATTTTATTTTAGAGTTTACAGAGAATGAGCCTGGGTATATTCGTATGGGAATTCGCCAGAAACTTACACAGGAGGACGATAATTTGAATATGGCAATTAAGAAAATAAAGGACTGGAATAGTACATTTGAATAATTTAATTTATTATTAAAGAATATATGTATTTTTTAATCAAACAATAACTAAGCTGAATATATTCCCAACAATTAACCCGTAAATTACTATTGAATAATGTCAATATTATTAAAAAATTAAGATGCACTATTTACTTTTTTTCAAAAATATTATTTTTATTAATTTCTTACATAAGTTTAGATATCTCGATGGGCAAGAATATACAGAATAAAACTTTCCTCTATAACTTTCACTTGTAAAGGTTGTCTTTTTACTTATGTTCAAATTCTGGGGTGTGGGATAGACTTACCTCCTCGTGGTGCACTCTGGACAACGTATACTTATACGGCAAAAAATTTTATTAACCAGCAGTTGACTTCTCACTTCAAACTACTATCACCCCACTGTATGTCATATTCGACACCTATCACAGCACTCATCTTACCC